CCCGACTGGTTCATTCTGCATGGCCCTCTATCGACACTGCAGGAACCCGTCGATTTATAATACGTGCAATTCAATGAATTTCCTGCAGAATAAACCAGTCGGGGTGATTTCGCGCTAACACCTCCATTTCGCGATTTTTTAAATTTTATTTAAACTACAAAAAACAAATTAATCGCCTCGACTGCGCCAGTCTAACATTAATGTAAAGTGTATTTTATACTAGTTACTTTGCGGTAGCTCGTTTGATAAATCAGCTGCCATACATTCGTACTGTTTACATAGAGTTTTCTGTTCCGCATTTTCAGGACTCTTGACGTTTTGAATGATAAACTTAGCAGCAGTGAGTATGACACTCAAGAAAGACCGAACGCAGGGGGTAAGTGATTTCTCAATATTATAAGGTTATTACGAAGATACCTCAAAGTATGCCACGAAGAGAGTTACAGCGGCAGTATCGACCGACGCGCAGCGGAGGTCGATGCGACAACGTACTGTCTGAGTGCATATTTTGAGGTATCTTCGTAACAACCTTATTATTATACATCTTTTCCTACTAACGATACATCATGGGAATGCCAAAATCTAAAAAGTTTAGAACAGAATCAGCGAACTTCTTTGTATGGAGTCCGGTCAAACCCTGGTGGCAGCCATGTTTATTTTTATTATTAGAAGACGCGTACGCGCTAATCGTTCCATATTTGGCATACGCAATCTCTTATATGGTAGGATGAAAATACCCCGTAAAATACCGCAAAATTACGGCACGCTGTAACCTATGGCGTTACGGTGACAGATGTATAATAATTGTTTTTAATTCTAAATGAAAAAAATATGTACATTCACAAAATTTGCGCTTTCTCTATGATGTATGCTTTAATATCTCTACTTCCTAGTTAACATTTTACACCCACACATATAGATATTAACATCAGTCCATATTAGATACTAATTAACCATACTAATAATAATGTATTTCAAATGCACAGGCCCGCCTGTCAATGTGTCTGTTGAACTTTATATTACCAGTATTCATTCTATTTCGGAGATATCTATGGTAAGTTATATAGTTATTTAGTTATGTAATTATTTATTTTCTAAATCATTATAAATGCCACAAAAATCAGCAATATTCAATTCAAAATTAGCAATGATATAAGCGTGTTTTTTTCAGATTGTCTGTCAGTGTTGTTATGTGTCATATGTTCAAATACTTTTACAGGACTATGGCGCAACCATGTATTTAATGATGAGATGGTTCGATCCACGCATCTCGTTTGAGTCTCCTGATCCGATTGATTTAAGGTCTGGATCGAAATTGCAGAAACTAATCTGGACCCCAGATCTATATTTTGTCAACGTCAAACAAGCGGAACTACACCAGGTTACAGAAACAAACAAGCAAATAAGGATATTCCCAGATGGTCACGTGACATCTGATATCAGGTGATGTAAATTGCATTAATTAATTAATTAATTAATTAATACGAATATTATAATAAGTGATATGTGTATATGTATTTTCTGAAGAAAAACTGATTTCATGCTGTGACACTGAGGGACGTCGTTATAGGACAATCAATTATCATGTATTCGCCAAACAATACCCCGTTGTTACTCATGAACGATATGATCCATTAGACGCAAAATGTCGCCGAGATCTCGTCGAGAGTACGAGAATCACGAGATTTGTGTTCGCCCTCACAAAAGATGTTCCACTCTCTCTCGATATTGCGTCCACTGTTCTTCTCACATGTGACACCATGGTAACTGGAACAGTGGACGCGATGAAGTTTATGTTTGAATTCTATCAGGAACTTTCTATCTTGTAATAATAATATCGTGATAGACACTGTATGTGTTGTATATTACTGATACGGAGTGTGTGTTACACAGGGTGACGCTGGTACTTATATGTCATATGCATTTACATCGTTTCCCCATGGATAAACAGCTGTGTCACATTGAGATGGAAAGTTGTAAGTAAATATCTCGTTCCTTAATAATATATACGGTTGCGTCAGTATCAGTAATTAGATCTTTCGCTCACATTTGATTTTATTTAGACGACCTTTTTTCAAGTATTGTTCCTGGGATATCAGACAATAAACAAGCCAAACTTTATGTTTATTTACATCATGTTTGTATACATACTGCACTGGTAATAAAAACAGCATCGCGTGGTTTTTTTAAGAGTACACAATCTGTAAAACACATTTATGTTATTTATTCTTATTGTCATCAGTCAGCTATAGCATAAAAGATGTTCACCTTAAATGGTTGACTGTGAATGGTAGTGATTCACATGCTGTATCGCTACCCAGTCACGATTCGCTGCCGGGATTCATACTTGAGCGGCCAAACATGACGGTAGAAACGCCACTATATCCGATGGGTAAGATTTTACTTTGCTTTCGTGTTTCTTTTATATGTGTTGTTATCACATAATGTTTTGTTTGCTTTACCAAAAAATATGAACACAAGACAAATTATTTTACGAATATGTTCCTACTATTCTCTTGTCGGCAGATTAATGGTATTGTATAATAAAAATCACTCAAATTAAAGATATATATATTACTAATAAAGCATTGTTTAATAGTATGCTGTCATAATTTGATGCTTGGCAGCAAGATGAGCACTTATTTTTGTCTATTCTCTTCAAACTTCGTAACGGCGTGCGTTCTTAACCTCCGTCATTACAACAACACTGAAACCATCGACAGGTTGC